GAACCCTACAGGGGCACGGATTCTCGGTCAATCTAAACAAGAGCCACCTCATTCCCTCAAGGAGACTGCAACACCTGGGCGCGGTGATAGACACGTCACAGTGCAGGGTATTCCTTTCCCAGGAGCGACTGATCAGCATATCCAAGCTAATCCACCAAATTCAAAAGATCAGGAGAGTGCCCTTGCTACAACTCTCGAAGCTCCTGGGGAAGATGATATCTTGCATGGGCATCATCCCATGGGCAAGGCTCCACTCGAGGGAGTTGCAGTGGTTCCTCCTACCCTACCAGAGGAGGAACCTCAGCACCTCCAGCAGGAGAGTGCCGGTACCAGCACAGGTGATGAAATCACTAAAATGGTGGCTATCCCCCATGACACTCAAGGGGAGCATATTCAGGGAACCGAACAGGGTCACGCTCACGACAGATGCGAGCCTGTTCGGATGGGGAGCCCATCTGGGGACCCAGATAGCACAGGGCCAGTGGGGTCAGAAGGACCTGTCACACAGCATCAACTGGCTAGAGCTCCGGGCCATACACCTGGCCCTCCGTCATTTCTCACACCTAGTAACGAGGAGGCACGTCCTCGTGCTTACAGACAATGTAGCAGCCAAGGCGCATGTAAACAAGGAGGGAGGAACGAAATCAGTGGAACTAATGAAGGAAGCATTGGCTCTGTCTCGGTGGGCAGAAGCCAATGTGAGTTCCATCAGAGCGGAACACATCTCAGGGGAGACAAACACCCAGGCAGACTCCCTGAGCAGAGCCAAGGTGGACCAGTCGGAATGGCGTCTGGACCCGGCTCTCTTCGAGGAGATCTCCCGGAGGTTCGGACAACCGCACCTAGATCTATTTGCCAACCACAAGAACACACAACTCCCCAGGTTCTTCTCCAGATTCCCGTCCCCGGGATCGGAGGGAACGGATGCTCTCAGGTGCCGGTGGCCGGCGCAACTCCTGTACGCCTTCCCACCACTGCCATTAATACCGGCAACCATACGCAAGATGATCCTGGAGGGCGCAGAAATGGTCTGCATTGCCCCTCACTGGCCACGGCGCCCGTGGTTTGCCGACCTCGTGGACCTTTCGATATCACCTCCGTGGAGGATCCCCCCGGACAAGGTAAAACTCAGTCAGGGCAAGCTTGTACACCCAGATCCCCAGTGGCTACAACTAGCCGCTTGGCATTTGAGCGGCAAAGCTTAACTAAACAATCTTATTCTGCAGGGGTGATATCGATCATACAGGCATCACGAAGAGCGTCCACTAATAGGATTTATGACGCTACGTGGAAGGGATTTTGTAGGTGGTGCGCTTCGCTTCACCTAGACCCGACCGCAGTATCTATTCCCAATATCCTAGATTACCTACTGGAGGGTCTTAATAAGGGCCTGTCAGTCAATACTATCCGCAGACAGATATCGGCCCTCTCAACTGTACTCTCCTGCGACAACTTAACTTCCCTAGCACAGCATCCAGCTATTAATGCCTTTTTAAAAGGGGCATCTAACACAAAGCCCCCAGTCATACACAGGTACCCGTCCTGGAACCTGCCTAAGGTCCTTCTAGCCTTGACATCAGCACCCTTCGAACCTCTTGAAACATGCTCACTCCATCACCTATCACTGAAGGTAGCTTTCCTTGTGGCAATTACTTCAGCAAGAAGAATCTCAGAACTAGCAGCACTGTCAGTAAGGAAGGATCTGTGTACCTTTTTCAAAGACAGGGTCGTTCTTAGACCAGACCCGACCTTCATTCCGAAGGTAAATAGCATCTTTCACAGATCTCAGGAACTTTCGCTTCCTGATTTCTGTCCAAGACCCAAACATAGACTAGAACACAGATGGCACAAGCTGGACGTGCGGAGAGCGCTGTGTTTCTACGTGAAACGCACCTCGGCTTTCCGAAAGACTGAAGCATTATTTGTGTCCTTTCAACCAGCAACTATGGGAAAGAAGGTATCTCCTTCCACCATAGGCAGGTGGATCAGAGCCTGCATAGCGCAGGCCTACGTCTCACAGGATTTGCCAGCACCCACTCAGGTGACTGCTCACTCAACTCGGAGCGCAGCTACATCTGCGGCGTGGCTAACGCAAGCTCCGGTGGAAGAGATTTGCAGGGCCGCAACCTGGTCCTCACCTTCGGTTTTTATTCGACATTACCGTTTAGACTCCCTAGCAGCAGCAGACGCGGCTTTTGGCAGAAGAGTTCTTCAACAAGTCGTATCTGCTCAGAGTTCGGTAGCCTAGACATTCCCTCCCAGGGGGACATGAGGGCTTTGGTATGTCCCATCCATTTGGACTCTACAGCCATCCTGCTGGAGAAGGGGCGTTGTCTTACCTGAACGCCTTTTCTCAGCAGGATGATGTAGAGTCCAAGCCCACCCAGAGGATAGGTCTAGGCAGGGTTATAATAAAGATATAATAAAGAGCTGCAAGGTTAATTCCAACAAAGTTTCTCGCCTAAGTCAAAACTGGGGTCACGCCCAAAGGAAGGGGTGTGGCCGAAGTTTTTACCCAGTCTGCCAGGCAGGAAGGCCGTCATAGAACCCATCCATTTGGACTCTACATCATCCTGCTGAGAAAAGGCGTTCAGGTAAGACAACGCCCCTTCCCTTTGTGTAAAGACAGATGCAAAAAAAAATGAGTTAAATAGTTCTGCTTTCTCCCTGTTGCTTGTCACCTTCTTGCCACTTCCACCCACTAATGGACCAATCATTTCCTTCACTTTTTTCTTGTTTTTTACATGTTGAAAGAAGCTTTTTTTGTTATTTTTGACTTTGATCGCAAGCCTTAGTTCATTTTGAGCCTTGGCTTTCTTCACTTCATCTTTGCAGGCTCGGGCTATTTGCTGATATTTTGACTTAGTTACATTCCCCTCTTTCCACTTTCTATACTTGTCCTTTTTATCTTTCAATTTGTTAGAGAGTTCTTTATGCAGCCATGCTGGTTTCTTTTGAGAGCTGTTGTTTTTCTTCTTTGTTGGTATTGATTCTCCTGTGTACCTCCTTTAAAGCTTACAACTAACTGATTAATATTTAGCAGTGTAAATAGACCTTTTTGAGTCCACTACTGTGTGGATTTACCAATAGAGATAATTATTTTAAAAGAACCATTGTGAATATTATTTACATCTGAAGCAAATCCTCTTAAACATATACTATAGTTACAAAATCAAAACCAAAATCATGATAAATAACTCTTTGAGGACAAATTCTCATCACAGTAAAAAGGGAGTTAGTATGTGAACTTGTTCCTGAAATGTAATCTTAATATTTTCAATATTGTTGAAAATCTTAATTCTCTGCTCCATTTATTTATTAGAAATAAATTAATATCAGGCTGTCTTCAGTGGTATCAAAATAACTTATTCAGCTAAATTGGTTTACACAGACATATTGTAAACACTTGTAGGATTAAATTATACTCAAGTCAGTTTGTATGAGTCAGGTTGTGTTTACAATATAACAGCCATAGTGAAATCTTGACAAATAGAAAAACTTGGCAAACATAGTGTGTCAAAAAGGTCTACATTTACATTTGGCAAGGAGTACTATCCAGGGAACTCAGTAGAAATTACTTTGAAATAAACATATTTTTTTATCATAATGTAAAGTTGCAAACCTTCAACACATGGAAATAAATTTTATTGAATGAGGATCTACTTTGGAGTGAGGACCTACTTTTAACTGAGTGTGGTTTGTATTGCAATACAAATGAAATTAGGTAATTTACTGTTTAGATTCTGGAACTGCCTTGTCTTGTAAGAGATCAGAGCTGAAACCTAGAAATTGCAATTGCAACTAGTAGATTTATATAGCTGCAGCTATAACAAACCATAAAAATGTCAACATGATGACAAATGCATGATGAGGCCCTTCTCCAAATGTCACAATTATGTACTTGCTGATGCCCATAATTATATACTTGTTCCTACATGAATCATTGTAACATCTAGTATTAATAATAAGCATTGGGTTGTACAATGGAACACTCATGAATGAAGGCAAATATATACATCCCAGGATAATGTTGCAAGATACAAGCTAGAGAGAAGTTCCCTGTGGAAGGGCTCCAGCACAAGTTTGAAAGCTCCAAAGACTAAACCTCTGGTCCTGGTAACCAACCCAGATTAAATCCGATAACACACTCATTCGTTGTGCCAGTTAAAATGCGTAAGGAATTGACAACTAATGTAAAGTTCCTTAAGGCCAAATGATGCACACAACCTCAAATAATCTATACTATCTTTGGGAATGTCCTGTTTTTTTGCCCTGTTTAGTTCTGTAATTGCTGTAGGCAAAGCACAGAAGTGAGTGGCTGTGAATCATAGAGATTTGGAGAAAACAAAGTAATGATTTTTAAGAGTTTTGGCTCCTTACTTAGTGCTGGCATACCAGTACTGTTTAGGTCTGGTGAAAAATGCCGCTTTCTTGTAAACATTTAATGCATCTAGATTGAAGCATTAAAACATTCTTCCCTATTGAATTGCATGTTGACACACGGAGTGGCTGTTTGCCAAGGCAGAATATAATCTGGGAATGGCAAAGATTGTGAAGTGTGATGCTTAGAAGCAGTAGATTGAATTGGACATCTTACTATAAACCAATATTATTGTTGCTAACTTGATGATAATTACAAATAGGGGGACAGTTAAGGAATAGCTCATATAACAATAACTAGGGTATAACCTGTAAAACACAGATATGAAGTGATGAAACTATTGATATGATAGATATAAAAATGAAGTCTTTTGACTATTGTATGCTTTGAAAAGAAGCTCAAATTGCAGTTAAAATCAGCCTGAATCAGTGGTTGGAATACAACTTTCCATATTCCTAGGTGGAATGGGTCAAAACTGGTATTCTGGGGATTTCAGTTCCAGACTGGGGAAATGTTAGTATAAATCTAAATTGAGCTATTTGGGATTTCACAGATGGATTTCCTTTCTATGCGTATTGTGTCAAGCTACCACACATTCTTGGTTATGCTTTTTCCTTAGGAGGCTGACACAGATGAGAACCAGGGAACTTTAAACTTTGAAGAGTTTTCTGTGTTTTATAAGATGATGTCATTACGGCGTGACCTATACCTGCTGCTTTTGAGCTATAGTGATAAGAAAGACCACCTCACTGTTGAGGATTTTACTCAGTTTTTGAAGATAGAACAGAAGGTAAGATGCAAAACAAAAATGATTAACACTCCAAATCATAACAAAATGTCCCCATTTTCTTTTTGCATTCAATTGCTTTTATTTTGACAACATTTGTCAAAAACAATTATCTAATACTTGGATCCTTGAAAATATTCACATCTATACTTGTGAACAGTGAGACCAGAAAACGTTTATGAATCGGAGCTGCATATGTTTCATTTCTTTTATTTTGAGCACTATTTTATTTTCTATATTTTCTGTAGACACTTATGTAATCTGTAAGGGTCACAACTTATATCAGTACACATTTCCAGAACACAAAGATTTTGTCTGAAGCTAGGAGTCTAAAGAATTCAATTATTTCTTATTCAAGAGATCTTTTAGCTGCTGCAACTCATTTTCTGCCCATCAGATGTAAATGTTGACAAATCCCTTCTGTTTTTCTATCTCTAAATAGAAAGATATGATTTGATTGCTTCAGACAGTGAATGAGAGAGTGTATTGATTACTAATGTCTTATAGCAAAAGCAACCCAAGTTTGATTATTAGTGATCCTGTGCCTACCAAAAACAGGAAGTTTCTGCTCCTACTGAGCTATGGGTGAAACTCAAACTGTTTATAATACCTCCTCAAACTATCTAGAAATCATGAAAATCAGAAAAAGACTTACAAGCCACTGCTGCTTTAGAGCCCTTGATGCCATGTATTCATTGTACTATATTCACCTATCTAAAAGCTTTGCTCACTTGCCTGTCTCCTCTATCATCTGCAGTTATGCTGGATATTACTACTATAGAATGATTGTTCTTGGGCAGATTATATGAATACTATGCCAGAAAAAACACTTAGATTAGTGTTTTTTGGCACTAGGCTAGGGGAAGCTCTTTTTAATTTATCTGAGTATTTAAAAAGTTTTTGTTGCTGTTTTGTTGTGTATTTATGACTTATACTGGCTTTGATAGATTGATCAGCTTTGGTTGCCACTTCAGTGAAATCTATTATTGTGTAAGTGGTATTTTATCTCCATTTTTTTTGCCACCTCCTTTGCTTTAAAGAGAACTTATACATGCACTAGGTAAATGGTGATAACTTTATTTAGCAGCTGGAATTACCATAGCATATGAGAAGATAATTTGTACTAGATCCACAGTATGGATTTAAAGGAGACCACATGCTTTTCTTCTTGTTTATTATTAGTGTTATGTTCGGGGTATGGAAGGAGAAAAGCTAAAATATCAGTTTGAAAGGTCCAGAAAGAAAGACTATAGGCTTTGGGTATAGCTCAAGGCCAAAGCCAATATAGACACTTGTTATAAATAATTGGTATTTTGTTTCATTGGTGTGTCAGCTTTGGCTGGTCACCTGTTATTCATTACCAATGCATTTGTCAGCTGTAATATGTGCCCAGCTTCTCTATCCCTGTCACTATTCATAGGGCTTATCGTGTATATTCATGCGAGACAGTTATATGGTGTCCATTACTTCACTCTGGATCAATGACTTTGAGAAACACCTGCTGTCCATTCAAAAGATTGCAAACGTGCTCAGCATTATGATTTCCTTTCAGGAGACAAGCTGAGCTTTGAAGTTGAAATGAGTAATAAAACTATATATGAGACACATGGAAGAGCAGTGAACCTAAACGCTTCAGTAACATAATGTCAGTGGTACATATTAAGAGCCGAGGTGGCGCAGTAGTTAGAGTGCAGTACTGCAGGCCACTTTAGCTGACTGTGTTCAGCAGGTCAGCGGTTCAAATCTCACCGGCTCAAGGTTGACTCAGCCTTCCATCCTTCCGAGGTAGGTAAAATGAGGACCCAGATTGTTGGGGGCAATGTAAAATATATATACATTGCTTACTGGTGTACACTGCTTAGAGAGTGCTTGCACTTAAAGCAGTATATAAGTCTCATAAATAAATAAATATTGACCAGCACAAGTTAGTCATATGACGGTTAACAGAATGTCTACACCAGCACAAGTTAGTCATATGAGAGTTACTGTATAAAACCAGTGTAGATGAATTTCAGATTTGGATGATGTACTTAATCTTTTTTTTTTTTTTTGCCTGCGTTCTAGACTACCTGGTATTACCAATCACACTTTGGTGGCTTAGAACCACAAGCAATTGTCTGTATATATTGCAGTATACTTTTTTTTTTTTTGCATGTGTTTAGAAGTTTGCTAGTGAACAACATCACCCACCTATATCAGCACAAACCTTAAGTTAACATAATCTATATTGTAACTGTTCACAAGGCGAACTTAGCATGCTCATACCACTTCATCGGATGTGCTGAATGAACACTGAAAGTGAATTCCACTGTTGATATTAGACTGAGGCTGAAAATAAATTCTTGTTTTATGCTGAAGAATAGACTTTGAAAGACATTATATTCTGGAGGACAAAGTTGTTAAATCCAGTGCCCTGAGAGATCACTGTTCCTTAAACAAGCTATAGATATAAATGTTCCAGAAATTCTGACTGTTTTCCTTTTCCTTGATAAATAATTTTATTTTATTCTTGGACCTCTCACACTTTGCTGTTCCATCTAAGAGAATTCAGTTTAACTTTAATACCTATGTAGTGCTAGTTTTTATGGAGATTCTCAGTCATCCAGTTCATGGTTATCACAAAAGTGCGTTTTTCACAAGGCAACTGGACTTTCTTGTTTTTCTTGAAGACGTTTCACCTCTCATCCAACGCGTTTCTTCAGATCTGACTGGATGGTGGGGATGTAGTGCTACTGTTATTTCCTTAGTGATTGCACTCTAAGTGGGTGGAATCATTGATGCTCTCTGAGCTTGGTGTTTGCTTGCAGACATTTTGCTACCAGACTAGGTAATATCCTCTATGTTAGAAAAAACTGGAGTTTGCTCTGTTTATATGCATTAGCTTTTCCTTTCATTGTTGATGAGATATTGTTTTCTTCTTAACAGTTCTTTAATTAGGCTGTTGTTTATTGATTCATCGTTTATCTAGTGTTAATCTCTGCTTAGGGTATTGATTGCTAGTGAGCAGGTGTTCTAGTCTTTTGTTTTCTTCTTAATTTTTTAATTGTCTCTTGAATGGTATGCAGATGTTGTGTGTCTGTTGATGACTGATTTGTCTGAGTGCCAAACTTCCAGGAGTTCCCTACTGTTTCTGGACTGAGATTGGTATAGGGTGCTCACAGTTTCCCAGATGAAACTATTGTTAGGTCTGTCCATGTGTTGTGAAATTAAGGCATTTTTATGATGTCTTCTGACTGCTAGCTGCCAATTGGTGTTCATGGATATGTTCTACTGGTCTTCTCTCTGTCTGTCCTACATAGTGGCTGTTACAGTTTTTAGATTTGATGTAGATGATCTCTATTTTTTCTTCTTGGGCTGTTGGGCCTTTTGATTTACTTAAGATATTTTGGAGAGCTTTAGGTGATTTGTATGACCAGGGCAAAATACCAAATATAAATAGAGAGCAAACCACTCCCTTCTACCACTGAAGATGTAATCCAGGATAATAACAAAATGTCTGCAAGGCAAACAACCAAACTCAGAGAACATCAAGGACTCCACACTGAGCTGCAGTTATTCTCTTCTCCTGGTATTATGAGTGTGTAATTTGTAATGTACTGGAAAGAGTAATTGATATTGTCTCATGAACTGAGATGAAAAGTGATAAGCACAGTGTCACTAAACTAGGACAATTGCATCTAAAGAAATGACTCTAATGTTGCTTATGATCTAGACAACATGAATAATATTTGTGTTTCCCTAATTTCCACAGGATACCCATGCAAAACTGTTTATATCTATGCTGTGTGATAGAGTTATATATAGTTCTTCCCTTTGCTATTATATATACAAGTGGAAACAATACAAGTGGAAACATCTGTTGCAGAATTATAGATCTATGCATTTTGTTTTGCTTATGGGCTTTTTTTGTACCATAAATCTTGTGAAAAATGTACAATTTGGACCAAAGAGATGTATGACTTTAGTTATGTTCACTATTTATCTGCAGTATTTAAAGCATAGTTGTGATGCTTACAAAAAAAAAAAAACAAATACAATTTTCAACTCACTGCTGTAAAAGGTCATTGAAAAAATCATGACAGTTGTAGTTACAGTTGACTGCACACCAAATATGACCATGGGATTTTAAACAAGAGGTTAGATATGAACTAAACTTTGAAATATTGGTCACTTTCTCTCAGAAAACAAAAACAAAAATTATCAATTTTGTCTTTGGTGCAGATGAATAATGTGACAACAGAGTATTGTTTAGACATCATAAGAAAATTCGAGGTTTCAGAAGAAAACAAGAACCAGAATGTTTTGGGAATAGAAGGTAATATATTTTAGCATTTCAGTTCCTTTGAATGCTGTTTTTCATTGCTGTTATGGAGCAATGCTTTTAGCAGCATTTTCTTCATTGTGGCTTAATACAACCTTCTGCAACAGTGACATTCTCTGGATTCGTTGGATTTCAGCTCCCATCATGCTGATCACCCTTGCTAGTGGTAATTGCAGATTGCAAACTATTTCTAAAACATATGAAGAGTGCTGCCTTGAGAAAGATTACATTAGTATGTCAGTATGTAAATAAGAGGTCAGTCTATTAGCATTTTAATTAATGATGGAAAACATAAATGAGATTATGAATAATGCAGAATGTGATACTCTTATGAGACAGTTTGTTTCTTTATTGAAATTCATTTCTAGTCTTATTCTTTAAAATAATACTTTAGATATAATTAGAAACAAGGAGAGAAAACAATGTAAGTGACTACTAGTTGAAGTAGTATTTAAGCAGAACAAAAAGGGTTATAATTAATTTTCTCTATTTCAAGACTTAACATAAAAAAATTGAACAATGCCAGTGTCTGCCAGATGGAGAAAATAGGCTTTAATTTACATAGTATCAGTTCAAATAAAGATTGTCTTGAGCTCAGTATCTATAGCCTTGCAAAAGTCACTTTATGTCAACCTCCAATTTCTAGCTGTTAAACTGAAATTATAGTATAAAGGTTATTTTACACTGAAAGCTACAAAGCACTCTACAAATTATAAATGCTACAGTATATAATTTTACCTTCTTTAAATAACTGGCCAACAACAGTAGTGATAGTTGTTCTCACATTATTTAGTAAATATGCTTAGAAATTACATAGGAAATATTGCCTTGATGAATCTTGTTATGTCCCGAGCCTTGCAAACGGCTCGGGCGTTTGCAGGCAGTCCCGGGCAGGTGCAAAGCTGCCCGGGACCAGACAGGCTGTCGCCAGCGCCGTGCGCATGCGCGGGTGCTGGCGCGGGAAAAGTAACCCATTTACCCGGGAGTTGCCTATATAAGAGGCTGCGAGGCGTTTGGGCGAGGCTGAAGCCATCTTCCTGTAGCTGAACGCTGAATAAATGAAACTGAGAACTCCAGCTGCTTCTCGTGTCTGTTTTCCCGCCACGGACTCAACACTGGCGACGAGGATGGGATGCCTTGCACTACCTGGAAAGGAAGAAGTGTAAGCTTACCCAAGGAGTCCTGAGCGGCAAAAGAGGAACGGCGTCGACTCGGCAGCTGCCCGCCAATCCGGTGCGCATTCGGGGGTAGGCTGGCTGATAGACCCGTCTCCTGAAGATCCGAAGATGGCGAAAATCGGAAGGCTTTCGGAATTCGACGTCTCACATCCAGAGCGGTGGGAGTCCTACGTATCCAGAATGGAGAACTACTTCAAGGCAAACCAAGTGAGGGAAGATAGCTTGAAGGCGGCCACCCTGCTTTGCGTTTGCGGCCAAGACGCCTTCGAAATCGCAGAAAACCTTGCAGCACCTGTCCCAGTAGAGTCTGTAAGCTACGCAGACCTGAAGAAGCTGCTGAAAGAGCACTTCCACCCCAAGGTGTCTGTTATCTCATGGCACCACACCTTCGAACAAAGGGATCAACGGCCCGGTGAGTCAGCCAAGGAATACATCGCCGCGTTACGGAAGGCCGCCAAGCCCTGCGAGTTCAAGGACCTCGAGGAACGACTGAGGGACCGATTCGTGTGCGGGTTAAGGCATCGCGAGCTACAACAGAGACTTTTCGCAAAGGAAGAATTATCCTGCCAAGACGCCTTAAGGGAAGTCACCGCAGAAGAAGCAGCAGGCGGCGCCGTCAAAAACATGCGGCCGATCAGAAACAGTGCAGAGGGTGCGTCCGTGCACCAGGAAGACGTCCGACGAAACTCCGAGGAGGATCCGGACGAGGAAGTCGACCGTCTACACCACGCGAAGGAAGAGAACCAGAAGGGAAGCTCTTCGGCTCTGCTCAAGTGCATCGGCTGTGGAGGTCGCCACAGGAGAACCGACTGCAAGTTCCGCTCCGCTACCTGCCGGGAATGCGGTAAACAAGGGCATATTGCAGCTGTGTGCCTGGGCCGACGAAAGGCACAACCCCAAGAAGAACGCCTGAAGGGTACCAGATTCCCCAGCCAGAATAGGGTAGGTTTTTGCGCTTCGGTAGAAGCATCGTTAGAACAGGCAACACACAAGCCCCATGAAGAAAAAGCTGTCACTCAAGTGAAGCACAAGGGGTTCCATTATTCTATGGAACTAGGGACACAGGGTTTCTGCCCTGTCCATCATTTCATTGCATACATTTAGGAAGATTGTTCCAGACGTGGGTTTAAGCAGTAAGGGCCTTCTGATATTGTATACAGATTTTCAGAACTCAAGAGTGTGTGTTAAGGGGGAGGCCACCCTTAACGTGCAATACAAGAGTTTTGAAGGTCCACTAGACTTGTTAGTAGTAGGGGGTGAAAGAACGAGTCTCATAGGACGCGATTGGTTTGAGGCCCTGGGGATACACGTCACAGGACTCAACAGCTTACAAACACTCGACCTACAGGAAGTCTGCAAGGAATTTGCAGATGTTTTCAGCCCCCAGCTGGGCACATTCAAAGGACCACCTGTGTCCTTAAAGCTAGACCCCACTGTCACTCCCTTTAGGATTAAAGCAAGAAGGGTCCCTTTTGCTTTAAAAAGTAAGATTGACACTGAAATAGAACAACTAATCCACTAGGGAATCCTAGAACCGTGTTGATCCAGCACGTGTGAGAGACCCCCATTGTCACGCCTCTAAAGGCAAATGGGGACAGTCGCATCTGTGCTGATTACAAATGCACTCTGAATAAGGCATTGCAGCAACATGCCTATCCTGTTCCTGTGGTCAGTCATATTCTGGCCTCCCTCAAGGGGGGGCGTGTTTTTTGCAAAGCTTGACCTAGCTCAAGCATATCAACAGCTGCCTGTTGATGATGCTGCTGCTATAGCTCAGACCATTGTGACCCACAGGGGAGCCTTTAAAGTAAAAAGGCTACAGTTTGGAGTGAATGTCGCTCCTGGGATTTTCCAAAGCGTAATGGAAAACACACTACGAGGTTATACCAGGGGTCTGCCCCTACTTTGACGATGTCTTGATTGCAGGAGACTCCACACACATTCTAGCTGAAAGGCTTAGGGCTGTCCTGTTAAGATTCAGGAAATCAGGCCTCAAGCTCAGAAAAGACAAATGCCAGATGGGGGTGCCTTCTACTGAATTTCTGGGATTCAAAATTGATGCTGCTGGGATTCATCCTGCTGAATCCAAACTAACTGCTATTTTAGATGCACCCAGGCCAAAGTCTAAGGCCGAACTTCAGGCCTTCCTAGGCCTCCTGAATTTCTACAATTCTTTTCTTCCACATAACGCTAGTGTAGCTGAGCCTCTTCACAGGCTACTAGACAAACAGGCTGTGTGGCTGTGGTCACAAGCGCATGAGGCTTGCTTTAAAGAAGTCAAGGCCTTGCTCACTTCTAACAGTGTTCTTGCACATTTCAACGAGTCTCTCCCTGTGTGCATCGCTGGTGATGCGTCCCCCTACGGGGTTGGAGCTGTCCTGAGTCACCTCAGGTCTGATGGAACTCAGGTTCCTATTGCATACTACTCAGAACACTGTCTTCTGCCGAGCGCAACTACGCTCAGATAGACAGGGAGGCTCTGGCTGTTGTTGCTGGAATTAAAAAATTCCACGATTTTCTATATGGCAGGCATTTCACGGTCTTCACTGACCATAAGCCTCTGCTGGGACTGTTTACCACACGTAAGCAGACTCCCCACATCATTTCCCCTAGAATGCTTAGGTGGTCTATTTTTTTGTCTGCATATGATTTTTCATTACTACACAAGCCTGGGAAAGAAATGGGCCATGCTGATGGCTCAGTAGAGTGGCCTCTGCAGTAAGTAGTAGGAAGCTGACCCGCGTCCAGCTGTCAACATTCTATCAATCCAAGCCTTTCGCCCGAGCTCCCTCTTAGTGCCAGGGATGTTACCGCTGAAACAGGTACAGATCACACACTTTCACGTGTCCGCTCCTGGGTCCTGTCCGGGTGGCCTGAGCACTGCCCTAGTCCTGAGTTTCAGAGTTTCTGGTCCAAACGAAACGAACTGTCCCTTTCTCAGGGTTGTCTGCTTTGGGGAAACAGAGTTGTCATTCCCACCTCAATGAGGACTAGGGTCTTAGAATCCCTCCACGAGGGTCATCCTGGCCTTGTCCGTATGAAGGCTCTTGCACGAAGCCACTTGTGGTGGCCTGCTTTAGAGAAAAGGATATTGAGGCTAAGGTAACACGCATGGCACCTGTTTTGCAACGATCTCGCCCAGAGATGCCCCAAGCTCCTGTGCATAGCTGGGAGGAAACACAGTCCCCCTGGTCTAGGGTGCACATTGACTACGCTGGGCCCTTTCAGGGCCAGTTCTTCTTGGTCCTTGTTGACAGCCATTCAAAATGGCTTGAGGTTGTGCCTGTCTCATCCACCACCACTGCAAAGACTATTCAGGTACTGAGGGGGATTTTTGCTGCACACGGGCTGCCAGATGTCATTGTGTCAGACAACGGCCCTCAATTCACCTCCTCCGAATTCCAAGCTTTCTTACAGGCAAACCTGATTCGTCATGCCACGTCTGCGCCGTTTCACCCGTCCACCAACGGTCTGGCTGAACGCATGGTGCGCATCGCAAAGGACGCCTTGAAGAGACTCACCTACGGGGACTGGCATCACAGGTGCTGCTTGACTTTCTCCTTTCTTATCGCACACACCGGTTTCTACTTCTTACAGGGAGAAGTCCAGCTGAAACTTCGTTGGGTTAGCGGCCAGGGCCCTCGAGGCCAACTTACTACTAGAATGACCGGTTGCATCCGGACAGGGACTGCCTTTCATCTACCTCACATCCTAGAGGCACCTAGACAACTAACTTGTGGGTGCCCGGTTTGGGCCGCAATTACGGGCCCTGCGCATACCATGGGTCCCCGCGTCGTGCCCAGGATCACAGGTCCTCCTCTCCTACGAGGTTTTGCCCGGACAACGGTCACTGTCTGCGTCGGCACATCGACCAAACTTCGCTCTAGGCGAGACTTTTCTGCTGAGGACTCCTGGGTCTTTTCAAGGGGGGGAGGGGGGGACCCTTTGGAGAAAAGGGACAGGCAAAAGCAGATACTGCCCATCTCCACTGAGGGAGCCACAAACGGCTCGTCCCAAGGTTCTGCAATTGCTCCGAAAAGAAAGTCATGGAGCTTACCCACACAAAAGGCACTCACGCCTACTCCAGCCAGGGAGTCACCCCGGGGGCATACTCACTTTCCACACACATCACACAGCACTCCAGCAACGGAGGATACCCGGGTGCATCCCAACAAATCATTCCCCGCAAGAGAACTGGCACACAATTCCCAAGGTTGGCCTGACCTTACCCCAAATCCTACAGGGGGTCAAACATACACAGAGTTAGTCGAGGAACCAAGTCCCGACTACAACAACACTAGCACAAATCAGGGAACACCTGAGTTTTGGGAAAGTACAGAAACCCACACGAGCCCGAACACAGAATGGGGTTCAGGGAATGGACAGCCTCCTGACAGGTCTTGGACTGACCTAGGAGGTTCTACAGAGACGACCAGCAGCGGCTATCACTTCAAGGGGCCTGAGGGTCTACAGCTAGGTAGGTCAACCAGGTCACAAAGTAACAGAAGCCCTGGCCTGACGAGCCCGGTGGGCAAGCAAGAAGGCCAGGCATCGGGGCACAGTCCTTGGAAGACACCAGGGCACAATAGAGAGAACAGGCTCACGCCTCCCTCCAGTCAGGGGACTTATGACAGTAACCCAGAGCTAAGAAGGTCACAGAGAGCAAAGAAATCTCCTAAGTATCTAGAAGATTACATAACATTGCTGGCAAGGCAAAAGCCAGTAATCAGTGGGAGCACTGGGGAGCAAAATGTCATATAAAATAAATGTTGTATGTTGGTAGTAGTTTTAGCCCGGGGGAAAGGGGTGTTATGTCACGAGCCTTGCAAACGGCTCGGGCGTTTGCAGGCAGTCCCGGGCAGGTGCAAAGCTGCCCGGGACCAGACAGGCTGTCGCCAGCGCCGTGCGCATGCGCGGGTGCTGGCGCGGGAAAAGTAACCCATTTACCCGGGAGTTGCCTATATAAGAGGCTGCGAGGCGTTTGGGCGAGGCTGAAGACATCTTCCTGTAGCTGAACGCTGAATAAATGAAACTGAGAACTCCAGCTGCTTCTCGTGTCTGTTTTCCCGCCACGGACTCAACAAATCTAGAAATAGACAACTGGCTCCAATAAGTTGAAGAAACTACTTTGACAGACGCTCATATTAAACCTGTATGTTTGGAGTGAAACACGTTATTACCTGTGTTTTGAAAAGATCCTATCTCAAGTTCAGGTTCTCCCAATATTTAAATTGATAGGCTGGCATGTGGATTTAGCAGTGATCAGAAATATTTCCCACCCACCCCTGTGTTTGGAGCTGTAGCATTCCTGTTCCTGTTGTAGGCACCATGTAAGGCGCTTCCAGTGACATCACCGTTGCCTGGGAGACACCCTTAGGGGCTCCTTTCAAGGAGCTGGAGCGAATGATAAGAGCTCAGCCCACCATGCAGCAACACTTGGGTCTTGAACACAGACTTGCTAACCTCCAATCCAGCATCTTAACCATATGAGCCACCATGCTACAGCTCTAGCATTGAACCTGAGGGAAAAAGAAATACAGACTAGCTGGTAGTCTTGAATGAGTTTATTGAGAGTGAATTTGGATGAGAAAAGTCAGTTGAGCCTTTAGAGAAGCAGATTCAAATAATTCTCAGGAAACATTTTCTTGAAAAGAAAAGGATGGTCCAAGATAATTATTTTTTTGCAGAATCAGGAAAGCTTCCTTTCAGTATTATATGAAGAAATCATAGTAACAGCCCTATCACTGGGCAACATACTTTGGGATTTACACAAATTATTAGTTATACTGCAATCCCAAAAAATTAATCCCAGTTAAAATAGAGTGTACTTTGTGTTGGACTTAAAGGAATGTCATTAACACCAAAATGTCTCAGGCTGACCAGCAGTGCCTGTAGCAAGTCAAAAAATGATGACATGATGCAATCCTGTCCTTTCCAACTTGCATCATTGCATCTGACATAAGAAAGTAGGTCACAGGTTTACATTCCATACACATTCCATCCCATTTCTCCTGCTCCATACAGCTGACCCTGAAGGGTTTTCCTTTTGAACATATTTATAATTCTTTAATTTTCTGTTCATCTAGTTTTGCTAAAGGCCAAACACAAACCAAAATTTTCATTGGATGCACCTGTCATCTGGTTGGAAAATTACTTGGCTAAGTAAGATGCTACCTACCAATTTTAACTTCTTAATTCAAAATTTGGATTATTATAGGTGAAAGACTGTGGATTGACTGCTTGGATAGTATTTAGACACAGTCCTTTTAAAGATCTCATTGTTAAACTCAACATTGTTTTAAGCAACATTAGGATGCAGTGAAAAAAGTTTTTAAAAGATGAAAATTAATTTTAAGGAGGGCAATTGAGTAAGTTACCATAGTAAGAATGATGACCTGTTTCTGTGCAATGAATTAATCAATGAATGAGTTAAAAATACATGGATGGATGGATAGATAGATGGAACTAGACAGTGTGGGCCATTTTGCCTGAAACTGCACATCAAAGTTGATAAAACAAAGCTCCCCAGGGTGCAGACTTCTTTTTTTCTTTTCATCACAAGCATCCTTTTTGGTAGGTTGGAGAAAACAATCTGAAAAGAAGGTTAATACACAGGCTTAAGCATTTTGGGACCTCCATAGCCTTACTGATTTTTTCTTTTATTGCTCTGCTTGAGTCTCTCTCTTCTTGTATTCTTACTTTCCATTAAAAAAGACCAAAAGCTAAGAATCTATTTGAGTAGAATAATTTCTGTATATTCGGTTTGAACTTGGAAAACTTTATTTTAATCTGTCCAGTCTTTTGTTCTTGTTGTATGCCATCTGTGTGACATTACTGTGTTCATGATGAGCCAACTTATATTTCAATGTTAAGGAACCAGGAAATTTGGGGAAACAAATGTATGCCTATTGTTTTGAAATGTTTAATTAAAATTATTTTTTTCAAGAGATTCGCTAATCTTTACAGTTGAAGGGGAAATTCCGTGACTTTTTGCACAAGGAAGGCTGTCCCTCAATGTTGAAATGAATAGAACATGAATGGGAACAGAAAAGAAGTGAGCAGTATTCAGATCTGAAGTGGTCTCCCTGTGCTGAAAGGAAACATGGCTTTTCTTGAGGTTGTATGGAGACCTTGTGGGTTCTGGAAAAGATGGGTTTGATGAAAGGAGATGTTATCCACGTTGCTAATGGCGCAGCTGTGTTGCACCACCCTGTCACCACCTCAATGGCTGCTTAATTCAGTTGTATTATATTTCTGATCTTGAATGACTGGGAAAGGACCCAGTAAAAGGGATAACTCCTTTAAGGAACCACCATCAGCTACAAAGAGCATGCCCACTCTGGATCCAAAGTATTTCTGCCTGCTTTGGATCTATTGCTTGCTTTTAGAATGGAACAACCAATGTATGCATCTTGTCAATAATCATAATTGTGACACCTGCCACAATTCTACTGTGTTTTCTAAATCCTTGAAATGCTGTCAAATAAATTCCAATTCTAAAATAGCTATTGCTTTTGCTTGGTAAGATTCAGATCTAAGCAGACCATAGACAAAATAAGGAAAGCATTTCAGCACTGAATATGCTTTGGATGAATTTGGCTGTGTATCTAAAATCTCAGTTTTGGCTTACTGATGGAATGGAAGTGATTAGTGACTTATTATTATGTCTAAAAATGTATGAAGAATTAAAGCAACAGTAACTATTTGGGGAATGTTAGAATGACATTTGAAAATAAGTATCTGAGTAATGATTCTTGAATAGTTTCTATTTTATGTTGTTACTTCTTCATGAATGGCCTAAATTTGTGTGCTTAATTTATAACTTTTCCATATTTTGCTATTTTCTCTAATTTTACAGGCTTTACCAATTTTATGTGCAGTCCGGCTTGTGATGTGTTCAATCCGCTGCACAACGAGGTACATCAGGATATGGAGCAACCTCTTTGCAACTATTTTATTGCTTCTTCCCACAACACATATCTAACTGGAGACCAGCTTCTATCTCAGTCTAAAATAGAAATGTATGCCCGAGTCTTACAAGATGGCTGCCGATGTCTTGAAGGTGTATTCTTTATTTCACTTGGTGGTCTATTGCTGTGGAGTTTCTGTTTTTACTCTGAATATGTAACATTTGATACTTCCAGACAGGAATTCCATATATGTACATACACGTCTATTTACTCTGTTCTATGTCTGCTCTCAAAGTATGCAAAATATTTAATGGAGAATATTACCAAATATTGGTAATTTATGCTTCTGTATAAATAAATATTTGAAAATGATATTTATTTCATCAGAGTATAACGTGACTGAAGGCAAAAACATCCCTGTCTTTTTCAAAACAGCTTATATTGAAGCTGCTGAAACAAAATACTACATTTATCCAAATTTACTGAAATAATGTCATATTCTTAGATGAAGGTGCATTCCCTTCACAAAGGAAAAAGGCAGGAGCAAAATAGATATTTCTCATTTTATATCTCAAACCCATATGGCACTATAATTATTTGGGAAACACTTGATTCTATTTCTGAAAACTGGGTTTGAAAAAACCCCAATGTCGTAGAATTGAATTCACTTACATAACATCTATTTGGAAATATCACTAAAGTGATGCTGGCTTATAGTCATATGCACATCATAAGTGATATACTTCAGTCTACATAAGTAATTATGTCTACCATTGAGGAATAACTGAGATCTGAGAGTCAGTTTAGGTCTGAAGGAAGATCTGACATAAACAGGTTTGGAAAGTAGTTGATGGTTGATACAGGAGCTGTTGATACAGTTCTACAGAGGAATTATTCAGTGTCATTTATACTTCTATAACCATCTGGTTTGGTACAGCAACTAAATAGGACATGTTTAGACTCTAATGGATAGTTAGGACTGCAGAAAAAACAATTACAATCAGCCTGCCTTCCGTAGAAAACCTGTATTTTGTGTGGGTCAAAAGGAGAGCTGAGAAAATAACTACAGATCCCTCACAACCTGGAAATAAACTGTTTCAAATTCTCCCCTCGGGGCACCAGTATAGGGCATTACATGCCAAGACAACTAGACACAGGGATAGTTTTTTCCCTTATTCCATCACTCTGCTGAACACCTATTCCTCATAGTACTGTCTTATTTCTAAGTATATTCACCCATGTTATATGGCTGTAGCATCATTAACCTTCTCGACTACCCTCTTTTATTGGTACCATTATTATGATTATTATTACTCTTTTGCTTTGCATGTACACTGAGAGCTTCTACACCGGAGACAAATTCCTTGTGTGTCTGGCCAAATAAAGTATACTCTCCTCTACCATACCCTATCCTATCCTGTCTTAATTTGATGGTTGCTAACACAATCTTTATTGATGGACCTTTTCCCTGCTGCTTTAGAGTATTTATTTATGTCTGAGAACTGCCTGGCTCAGCCCATTATATGTTCCAGGGAAGCACTATGATTCAGCAGCTGTTAATCAAAGTATTTCTTAGCTACTGAGCAAATGATGAAATATGTAGCAGAAAAGTTAATACTTCAATTCATATAGCTCTAAGTAAAAGGTTGGTTAGTATTCTCACTTGTACGTCTGATATACTTTTTTTTCCAGCAGAACTGTTGCTATTATTGTGTGATAATAATAGCTTGTCAGCTTTAATCATTTGCCAGCATGAGCTTTATAGATTATGAAAGATGAGACTTGATGCATGTAATAAGAGAATGTCCACTTGTTGAATAGCATTTTCAAATGCCAAATATATGCTTGGGGCATTGATCTCCTCTCAGCCTGTTTCTTGGAAGGGAAAATATCAGCAAAATATTTATTTAACATTTAATGTTCTTATTTTATAGTTGATTGCTGGGATGGCCCAGATGGAGAACCAGTTGTGCATCATGGTTACACTCTTACTTCCAAAATATCTTTTAAAGATGTAATAGATGTAATAAACAAAAATGCCTTTACTAAGAATGAGTAAGTACAGTACATTCAGTAAGTAAACTATACCTTCTGGTTTACGTACTTTATGCAATATTGTAATAAAAGAGGGTTGTGCAAATCTCACTGCTGTGCTTGTAAATAATATGTTTAAATATGTGTTTATTTGATAACAGATTTTTTTTCTTCAAAAATACAGCAAAATTTATTTCTCAATCTTATTTCTTTAACAAAATATCCAATTTACTGTGTTGTAAGGTTTGCAAAACAACCCTCTATATATTTTTTTGTAGGAAATGACTTTGTATTTAAAGGGATTTATTTTATAACGATAAATGTCTTGAAGATTGTAGGGTTGCATTTTTCAAACAGAGCTTCCCTTAATGTTTTAATTGTAGTTTCCCAGAATTCTAGATATGAGGGCAGCCTGTGTAGATTATTGGGGTAGTGGTGGTTTCCTCTGGTATCTCGTAACCAGTCTTTGTCATAATTTTCTATTAAGATGGAAGTAAAGAACCACCAAGTTTACTTTGGCTCCTGTTGACTGCATGAACACAACCATGCAATTTTCTTGATATCAATATAGAAGTGGCTTGCCATGCCTTTTTCCAAGATGTTTTTCAACTTCCTAATCTTGTCTATTGTTGTCTTATTCCTTAATGATCTCTCTTCCAGATACCAGCCAGCATGATCCTGCTTAGATTTTAACTTAGAACATTATCAACTACCCGCTGAAACAGTTCTTCTATCTAAGGCATTTTCCTCCCACAGTATTATCTTCCATGTCAGTTTAATCATATAGATAGCCCTTGACTTATGGTCACAATTGACCTGCAAATTTTTGTTGCTAAGTGAGATAGTTGTTAAGTAAGTTTTGCCCCCTTTTTTAACCTCTTGTGCCACAGCTGTTAAGTGAATCACTGCAGTTGTCAAGTTAGCAACATGGTTGTTGAGTAAATCTGGTTTCCTCATTGACTTTGTTTGTCAGAAGGTTGCAAAAGTGATCACATGATCCTGAGGCATGCCAGTTGCCAAAGGTCTGAATTTTGATCACGTGACCATGGGGATGCTGCAATGGCCGTAAGTGTGAAAAGTCACGAGTCACTTTTATCAGTGCTGTTGTGACTTCAAACAGTCACTAAACAAATGGTTGCAAGTTCAGGACTACCTGTAATAGAAATGAAGGCAGATAGGGAAGAACCTGGAGCTATATACTGTTTCCTTTCTTCCTATATTATCCATAATTATCAAACATGATTTTATACAAAAATAAAATGGCTGAAGCCAAACCTCTGCTCAATACAATTATCCCAATTCAAGTATTTCAGACAGAGGATGGTTTAGCCATTATTAAGCCTACTCAGTCAAGAGGAAGCAATTACCTTTTGTGATAATTGACTGTGCTCTTATAGTGAGGGAGTTTTTCCATCAAATTGGAATCTGCTTTAGTGAAATCCATTATTCCTTGTCCTGCATTATGGAAGGTAAAGAGAAGAAATCTTTATCTTCTATATGACATTCTTTTAGAAATTTGACAAATTTGTAGTTCCCTGGATCTTCCACCTCTCCTTTTTCTGAAGATGGTCATCTGGTGCTACAAGTGCTCCAGTACTCCAGGATTTTTCAGAGCTAATACATAAAATTTTTGCTAGTCCTTTATTAAAATTTCTTCAGTATCATAGATTGTAATTCATCTGCCTCCTGAAATTTAAATTAATTCTAAGTAAATATACATTATTAGACCACATGTTGGTCTAATGTTTATTCTTTATCTTTTTCCTCATAATTATCTGTTGCAACACATACCTTCTTGTTCAATTAGAATAGAGGTGGAAGGGACTTTGGAGGTCTTCTAATCCAAACCCCTGCTCAAGCAGGAGACCCTATATCATTTCAGAGAGATGTCTGTCCAGTCTTTTCTTAAAAACCTCCAGTGATGAAGTATCCACAACTTCTGAAGGCAAGCTGTTCCACTGGTTAATTGTCCTTACTGTTAGGAAGTTTCTCCTTAGTTCTAGATTGCTTCTCTCCTTCTATTAATTTCTTGTCTTGTCTTCTGGTGCTTTGGAAAATAAATTGACCCCCTCTTCTTTGTGGCAGCTCCTCAAATACTGGAATATTGCTATGATGTCACTCCTAGTCTTTCTTTTCTCTAGACTGGCCATACCCAATTCCTGCAGCCATTCTTCTGTTGAAGAAGACTAAGCCAAAAGAGGAGTCGAATAATTCATCCTTTTCTTTCTTACCCATTAGTATCTTTCTGTTCTCAGTGAGCAACTGGTAGATTGATTGTTTTCTTTGGAACTTCCAAGAGAAGAACCTATTCACAGAAATTAAAAAATAGTGGTGCACTGCAGTGGTTTTGATATTTTTAAAATATGATTTCCCCCCTCATTTTTAGGTTTCCAATTATATTGTCTATTGAAAATCACTGTAATGTTCAACAGCAAAAGAAAATTGCCCAGTACCTCAAGGAGATTTTCGGTGAAAAGCTAGATTTGACCTCTGTGAAGACCGGGGATCTGAAGCAGCTTCCAAGTCCTCAGAGTTTGAAAGGCAAAATCTTAGTCAAGGTAAACAGTGACAAAGAGTGGCCTGCTGGAAAACTGTAATTTCAATCTTATATCTACCTTTGTTTTTCTTTTCAGATTTTGTTTACAAATGAGATGTCTCCTCCAGAATCATATTGAGTGTGTGTGCATATGGGGCTCTTCTGTTAACCTGAAGTCCCAACTAGTGTCTGTAAAGTGTCAGGAACCATTCCCAAAAGGGGCAATACCATGGTCTATTTTCGGAGGGTTTTAAGGAGCAAACCTTAAGCATATGCAAGTCTCTAGATCAGTGGTTCTCAACCTGTGGGTCGGGACCCCATTTGGGGTCGAACAACCATTTCACGGGGGTCGCCAAACAATGCAGTCCTCCATTTTCCCCCCTTTTCTTTAGCTGTGCTACTCCCTTTTATTCTATTGGCTTTTGAAAGCCAATAGAATAGACTCTCTTGAATAGAGTCTAATTCTATTGGCTTTCAAAAGCCAATAGGAATTGTCCAGGCTGTCTCTGCCCTGCTGAGCCCGCCAAAAGTCCCATTCTGCAAACGGTGCTGCACCAGTTGAGTAGTCCTCGACTTACAACCGGTTGGGGGTCACGGCATTAAAAAGGTTGAGAACCACTGCTCTAGATATTCATTTAGGAGACTCTTAAATTTCCAGCTCTGAATATGCAAAAGAAAGAAAGGATTGGCATTTTATCGGGAGAGCTCTGAAGCAGGGCACAAGAATGAAACTGAAGGGTTATGTATGGCCCCAGATTGTACATTTTACATTCATGTTCATACATTACTGTACATGTTCCATGAATATCTCTGTTGAAGAAGAGGCCATCACCATACAACATAATATCTCCCTGTTGAAGAAGACAAAAAAATGCCCAAGTTTTTTTAAAAAAATCCTGCTTCCTTATAATTTCTATTTATATTTTATTTATGCTCTTCAAAACATTACACAAAACATTAAGTAGATGGAAGACTTTCACATATTTGAAGCTAGCTGTTGATATTTAATTACTTCATTATTAATATTTCATGAAGTCCTCTCATCTTCAAATTAATACTTTTATTTAGGTAAAGTTGAATTGCCAGTGCATCAGATCCCCAACATGAATATTTTTGACAACGTTTAATCACAGTGTTTATTCAAAATAAGAGATTTTTTTTGTATCATTTACAGTAATCCAGCATTTGGGATGCATAGAATGTATTGGTTATTATTTATACTTGAATATGTTTAATTCATATACAGTATGAAATCATGATTGACGATGATGGTCAATGCACATACCCACTGAAAAAAACCCGGTAAAGATTTGTCCACTTTTCTAGGCCACCTGTAGCTTCCTTATTTGGCTCTTAGATTAACCAATTATCAACATCCTTGTAGCAGCCTTCTCCAGCCTGCAGATGTGGAGGCTTCAGCTTCTAGAATGCTGAACAATGGACAACCTCCTTTTGGAATTCTAGACAAAAACCACCACTCCCTTTTTAGGATAACCAAATTAGGGAAAACTTAGATTGGACCGAGAGGCTTTACTCACAGTCACTCATGCCCTTGTCACCTCAAGACTGGATTACTGTAATGCGCTGTACATGGGGCTACCCTTGAAGAGCGTTCGGAGGCTGCAGTTGGTTCAGAATGCAGCCGCGAGAGCGATTGTGGGCGCGTCAAGGTATGCCCACGTGTCACCTATCCTCCGCGAGCTGCACTGGCTTCCTGTGGGTCTCCGGACGCAATTCAAGGTGTTGGTTATCACCTTTAAAGCCCTTCATGGCATAGGGCCAGGTTACTTACAGGACCGCATTCTGCCGCACAGTTCCCAGAGACCGGTGAGGTCCCATAGATTGGGCCTCCTTCAGGTCCCGTCGGCCAGACAATGTCGGCCGGCGGGCCCTCGGGGAAGGGCCTTTTCTGTGGTGGCTCCGACCTGGTGGAATCAACTCCCCCCCGAGGTTCGAACTACTCCCACCCTGCCGGCCTTTAAGAAAGCCGTTAAAACTCTCCTGTTCCGGCAGGCCTGGGGCTGATGTCCCCGGGGGGGGGACGGGATATGATCGGACTCGCGGTATGATTGTATTATTTTATTGTTTTATTGTTAGATGATTGTTTTAATTTTGTACGTCGCCCTGAGTCCTTTGGGATTGGGCGGCATATAAATAAAATTAAATAAATAAATAAGATGAAAAGCAGAACCAGCAAACTGTCACCCTTTACTTTTTGTGAAAGAGAATTTGTGGCAACTACTTTATATTTATTTTGTCTTGTGGGAGTGTGCCATCTATATCTGATGACTTTCTAACACTAGAGATCATTCCCCAAGCTTCTGCCCTTTGATACTTCTAAAGAAGAGGCTTTAGTAGGGTGAAATGGCACACTACAGGCTGAGTAAACCCCATGCCAGATCTGTGCTTCCTGAAAGTGTCTTTCAATTGACTGGGTGCATTTCTGTTTCATGTGATTCTGCTTAGTACAAGTGTTATTGCAGTGGTGATAAAACAATTACAAAAAAAAAGGGGGGGGGAACAGTATCTTCTGTAGAACAGTACATTTTTATTGGAATTTGGAACTAATCAAAATTGGGTGAGTCAGGTCAGCACACCTTGTAACAAGCAGGTTTAATTTCCTGAAGATCAATCTCAGTCGGACTTTTTATTAACAAAATGCTTTGCCAAATATCAGTTAATCAGCTCCTGCAAGTAACACACTGCTACCTTAAATAACAGTACTAAATTTGTACCAACCACTTTTTAAACTTCTCATAACTGTTTGTCTGATGGAAAAGGACACTTACATCCATTACGGTGCAGTTAGGAAGACAAAATTTTGATACACAAAGAATGAAATAATTAAGATTTCTGGCACATAATTTTCAATTACCCATTTATTTGTCTGAAATAGCCTATAATACAAATGATATTATTGCTTATGGAGATCATAGTGCAATTTATTTTTTCCCCTCACTGTTTTGTTTTATATGATTGATTGATTTCTGGCATGTTTGTGTAATATAATCCTTGTTAGAATTTCTAATTAGGTTTCTTAGGGAAGCATATAAAAATAACATTAAAAATGCAGCACAATATAAAAAAATATAGCTGAGATCATAGTTGGATGAGGTTATGTAGGCCACCAAATTCAACTCCTTGCTCAATACAAACATTGATAAGAAAGTATTCCCAATGAGCATAATTTAAACTCATACTATACAGATGTGATTTAAAACTTTTAGTACTCCCCAAGGTCAAAAATCTCTCGCAGTGACTACTTTTGCACGTTGGTTTGAGAAGTCATTTAAAAATCTGGGAAAATAATAAACTTTTATATCCTGCCATTGAAAAGACTATAAACTAGGTTTGCATTTTTAGGAGGCCATTCTGCAAATGTTGTGCCACCAGTGAAAATGCAACTCTTTCTATGCACCTGACAAATGTCTCTTTAAAGAGGTGTACAGAAAGTGGTTTAATTTTTTTTAATAGAATTAACACAATAACAGTTTTAATGGATCTTGGAGGTCATCTAGTCGAGCCCCCTGCTCAGGCAGGAAACCTTTCTACCATTTCAGACAAATGGTTGTTCAGTCTCTTCTTAAAAACCTTCGGTGTTGGAGCACTCACAACTTCTGGAGGCAAGTCATTCCACTAATTAATTGTTCTGATTTTTCAGAGTAATCTTAAGATCCAGATAAGTATATATAGGAGCCTTTGAAGCTATGTTAAAATATTAACAGTTTGAGATTGGCCTAGGATTGTATTGAAGTTGATAACATTTAGCCATTTAATTTCCTTTAGCAGCTTTGGGATTATATTAGATGTAGAGTTTTCTGGTGATTACTATATATAATTCTTCTGCCTTATGCTTAAATTGTTTCAGTAAATGGCAGTATCTCGCCTACCTTTATCAGTTATATGCTTGTACTTTATTTTATCAGTGGTGGTAATTAAGTACGGCCTTAGATATAAAATCTCAGTGAATTCAATTGCTGCAGGAAAGTTGAACCATGTCAGGAGAAGGCATTGACAGAAAACTGCATGACTGGATTCATGCAGTCATTAGGAATTTAACTTAAGGGAACCTTTGCCTTTTATATCTGAACTGGGTGTAAGCGGTTTATTTACAATCAGGCAAATGTTTTGGAAACACTGTATATTACTCACCCTGTTACTTTGCGAGCAGTAAACCAAATAATGGCTGATTGGAGCACATCTTTCTAATGGACAATTATCCTGCCCATTCATGCTGATAAAAGGGAATAATTTCCATCCAGTTTTTTTATTCAGACAAGCATGTCCCTCCAGTTTCTAATCCTGATAAATGTATTTCCAAGATCATATGTTTAGGAAGTTCTGAATTAAAAATTTTGATTGAAGCGTAGCCAGAGCTCATATCTGTGAGGCTTGGCTTCTGAAAGGATATGACAGTATGTGACTAATGTACCATTTGGAGCCACTTGGATGGAAGTGCAGAATACACTTTTTGCTAATAATGATTTCTTAGGTCACCTTTAAATCTCATAGTAAAATGTGCTGCAAATCAGCAATCTGTTACAGGGAGCTGCATGGTCTGTGCACCTCCTCTTTTTTCTTGCCTATATTGGCTGTCAGAGGTTAGCATTTGTCTTTGTCTCTTCAATATTAACCTTCTCATAGAACAGAACAAAAGAACCCAACAAAGATGAGTAGGAAATAGCCACCAATCCTTTTATCAAAACCTGTTGCAAAGAGCTATTCAGGGAGGATCAGGTTGTGGGGGTGAAAAAGGATTTTCTGAAGAGCTAAGCTGTCCATGAATTTACTTCTTAAAAACTTTCTTACTCTATCAGCTGTTAAATCCTGATATCCTTTTCAATAAGTCTGAGATACGGGGAGTCTAGAACTATAAATCAAGGCTATGTTGCAGTTTTATCATTATGCCTATCATGGGTTCTTTTCAAGTACATCCAGCTTGGTGTCTCAAATCACAAAAGAACCAATAACACAGGTTCCTAAACAACACCTACAAGACTCATGTACTCACATACTATTATTCACTACTCATTCTTCTCCCCATTTTTCAAATGTGTCAGCTTGTCCTTTAAAAAAAGACTGGCCACTAATTAGAAAGTTTTAAAAATACGATTAGATAAATTAATGGAAGATAAAAGGTTGCTTGTCATTAATGGCTATATATTGTATGAACACTATGAACAGGGGAACATGTTATGTTAATTTTTGCTTGTGAACTTCCCAGGAGGCATCTGATTGGAATACCCATCTCTGGATCTGATCTATTTTTTGTCTGATTCAACAAGTCTCTTGTTATACTATGCTGTTAAGCATGCGAGTATGTGATATCCTATGCTCAGAAGTCCTAGAAACAAGTGTTCTATATCAGAGGTCTCCAACCTTCCCTCGCGGACCAGAGGGAAGGAGAGCAGCTTCAAAATTGTGCGGGGCCACACACACTGCTGTGGTACTAGTGGCCCTGTTCATGCATGCGGCATGTGTTGGCGCCGTGTGAATGCATGAATGGCTGTGCACCCTGTGGCGGGTAGTGGTCTGTTCAAGTATGCGCAAATGGGCCCTGGACATACCCTGCACTAGCATCCCTGTTCGTGCACACGCGCATGCACAAATGGAGCCATGGGCATGAATGGGGGGAATGCGTGCCCATGCTCATGAGCACCAGCCATTCATTTCCAAAGCCCTCTGGCCAAGAGCCCACAGCCCGCTTCCGGGCCATGGCCCATAGGTTGGGGACCCCTGTTCTATATGCTATGCAGAATATGTAACTGGCTTTAAATGGGAAAAGATTCTGCAAAAGTGATTGAGAAACTAGCATGAACAAAAGGTGGAATCATCAGTCATTTAAAGTGATGCTTTGGGACAAAAAAAACAACAACAACCCTATCTTGAATTTACAGGATCATACATTATCAAGGGAAGGATTAATGGGAATATATATATCAGAGAAAGTGAAGGGTTTGTTTATTTTAATTTAGATAACAGAGTGTAGGAAAACATTGACAGTTTCATTATTTAAAAGCTACTGGAATAAAACTGGACATTAGTACCTGTTTTATCATAATTTTCTAAATAATATTTTCATATAATGCTATTGTGCATATCATTGGATCCGCTTAGATTTCTAAAGTACATTTATTGTAAGCTGTTATTTTTTGCTGAATAAGTTAAATAGTTAAAAATTTCACATCAGAATAGCAAATTTTAAAAAATATATTGTTATTTTCATTTTCAGGGTAAAAGGCTCCCATATAGTCTTGGTGCAGATGTTGAAGAAGGAGAGGTTTCTGATGAAGACAGTGCTGATGAAATTGAAGATGATTGCAAGTTAAATTTTTCTTATGTAAGTGCATATAATACATCTAGTATGTTTTCTGATGATGGCTTAAATCTCAATTTTCCCACATTGTCTAAATAGTGATACAATACTCCTATTCCCCCTTAATGTATGACATATAAAGTAGATACAGCCAGAATGAAAATTCAGTGTAACTTAATGAAATGACTTTGAAATTAGTGACTTCCGAGATAAGCCTGAGTAGTTTTCTTGACAACAAGGTGGCAATGACTTGTCATTGCTTTTCTGGAATGCTTTTTCAACTTACCAGGCTAGACTACAACTATAGGGTTTCCTGGTTGATCTTTTATCCAAGTGGTTAGATCTGACTCTGTTTGTACCAGATACCCTGATTAAGTTATCTTGCCATTTCACAAATCCCATACAGATCTATTTTGGAAAAAAGGAAGAAATTAAAAAAAATCTGTCTAACAACTCCAAGGATACCTGCTGTTTATATCAAATAATTCCAAGGTGTCACTCCTAGATATATGTGTTCTTCCTGCCTTTTTGAATTAGGAGCTATGTGGCTACATCTGTCCTATGTCCTGTTTTTTCTGCTATGAGAATCAGACATGTCCCCATCATACCTTCTGAACCCAGATAAAAGTAGCCAGGCACTACTATCATTTGAAACTTGGTTTAATTTACTGCAATTTTAATGTAATTAACTTCAAAATCACAGGAATTAAAATGCCATTAGTATTATTACTTCCAATATATGTAATAATGCTGTCATCATGAAAAATATGATGATTCAGCAGCAGCAAGTTTCAGAGATGCTCCAGAAATGTGTGAAACACTTATCTAAGAGTCAGAGAAATTAATAATAATATTAATAATTGCATGTTGAAATAGAACAACTGTGGCAAAAGAAAATAAAGATAGTACCAATAATAATGGACTCCTTGGCTGCAATCCGAAAACATCTGGAAAACCACTTCAACACCTTCAGCCTTTGCAAAACCATCAGACAATTGCAAGAGCAGCTTTACTTGGAACAGTTTACAACCTGTGATGATATCTTTAATCCCGTAAACAACATCTGCTTTTCTCAGGTTTTTGAGAAGGATTTGCTAGGTGGATAAAAATGCCAAATCCAGTCTAAACAGCTCACTGATTGTGTGACCCACCACAATATTTTATGAACTACCTGTCTTAAATATTATCAGAATGCCAAATAATAAATATAAGTATAAATTACACCACTGGGTAACTTATTGTTTTCAGCAACCTGCGCTGACTTTCCATCAAAAATTAAATTGTAAACCTCTTGAGGTAGAGACATATCTTTGATAGAGCTATGTAAAATGTGGATATTTGATTATGATGTGAATATTTGATTTGATTTTATAAAGTAATGAAATGTCCTTTGGTCAATGAAGTCTAGATTAAATGAAGATGGAAGTAGGCATGACATATAAATTTATACTTTATTATCTGCATTTGCGTCTCCATCTCTGTCTACATCCTATCCCAATTTCATAGTCTAGGGTAAAATGAATCAGACTTGGATGAGTCTGAAGAGATTTCTAATTTATATTTCCAGATACAATTCTACTGAATACTATACAAATCTAAATGCTCACATTGCTGTGTGCATTTATTTTCTATGTCTTTTCTGTATCATTTTGGTTGAGCTGTGTGTTTTCCATAAGTGGTTCTCAAATGTCATCTGTAGGTAAAGAAAGGCCTTAGTGTAGACAGGAGCCCTGCTTCTGAGAAAGCCCAAAGGGAAGTGTTCTTTTATGAATGCCATTGGGATTAAGGAGATGGTGGGAAGATAAGAAGGCTACAGACCACTGGGGAGGCATTTGTACAGAGAAAGGCAAAACAATTCATATTCTTCCCTTGGCCACCTTATAACAGAATTGCAAGACTACCACACTCCACCCTAAGAATTTCTCCAACATTCTCTTTTTGTTAAAAGAATGACAAATTCTCTTTCATCAAGTCGAATTATAATTTATAGGGCAAACTTTAGTTTTTACTTGGCACTCATAAAAAGCCATTTGTAATAGATTGCAGCGTATTTCATAGTCTTCGATTATACCCAAAGGAAATAAAGGAAATGATCAAGCAGTGTTTCCATCTGTTAATCTGCAGTTGCTATCTCAGATATTTTCTATGTGAAACAAAAAAGGTAAATTATTTTCTTGATCTAACTTACTTTAAAAAAGGCAATAGAATATATAAGAAAGAATCCATTTAAATGGGTTGATACATTTCCCAACTCTGTTTGCCCTTTATTTAAAAAAAAATCAGTTAACATTTTTTATTATTGCTTATTGATCTCTTTCAGAGCAACGGCACAACAGACCATCAGATAGAGTCCTTTATAAGAAAAAAACTTGAATCGTTACTCAGAGAGTCTCAAATCAGAGACAAAGAAGATACTGATAGCTTCACTGTGAAGGCACTTTTAAAAGCAACACATGAGGGTTTAAATGTAAACTTTAAACAGGTAAGTTTTTCTTATTCTTCTGGGAATATCTGTTGCTGATATTCTGACATATAATTTATTGCAGAAGTCATATAAAAAGTAGCTGTTCTTTTGTTCATCGTGTATTTATTTGTATCCTGTCTTTTTAATTTTTATAAATAACTCAAGGTGGCAAACATATCCAACTTACCCTCCTCCTCCTGTTTTTCCCACAACAACAAATCTGTGAGATGAGTTGGGCTGAGATATTATGATTGGCCTAAGGTCACCCAACTGGCTTTTCTACCTAAGACAGGATTACAATTCTCAACCACCCACTTTCTAGCCTGGTGCTTTAACCATTAGAACAAATTAGTGTACATACAAGAAAGATAACACTTACTTTAAAAGGGAGGTAAATTATTATTTCCATTGTTCCTCCCAAATAAAGAGCTTTTGCTGCAAAATAAAAACAAAATCAAAAGAGTTGGACTCCATTTCTTTTAACTATACTGTTTGAGCAGAAGGTTGGACTAGATGACTTAAATCTATGATTCTGTTTTTTTATTTCCTAGAAACCAGAACTTGCTTTAAAAAATCTTATTATTTTGAATACCAAAATAGCAAGCCTCTGTATTGCACAAATGGCTATTTTATCTTTTTTGAAATCTTGAAAGTTTCCAGTAATGGAAGCCCACAACTTCAGGATGCAGGCTATTCCATTGCTTAGGAGCTCTTAGGATTTTCCTTATTTCAAGTTTGGACCTTCACACTAAAACTTCTACCTACTGGTTCAAATGCTGTTGAGCAAGGATCCACACCCTCTTTCTTGCTCTTTCAGTCATTCAGAGAATTGTTGTTTCAGTGTGAATATATCCTTCGGTCACATGAATGTGTGCTTTTCTCCTTTATACTCTTATTTTATATGCTCAGTGCCACCTTGGAGTTTCCAAGTAGTGTGTGAAGAATGTAAATGACTTGACTAAGAGCATGTATAGTAAAGAAATTCTTACATTGTATAACCTGCATCCTAAACTGAAATGAATATCTGGAATTAATGATTAGTGAATAAAGTAAGTCTAGAAAATGGGCAGGGAAAAATTATTCCTTGTTCTTCACCCAAAAGTGAATGGATAATAGATTCTTGTTGCAGGCCACATATTATATAATGGAAACAACTTGCACTGTGAATATCTGAGGGAATGTGTCTCAGTGCCTTTTTCAGCTGCACACTCTGACAGAAACACTGGATTTTGTCACATATCATCAAGCTGTTTACCCTAGGGAGTCTCTTTTGTGTGAAACTCAGATGGGCTAGAACTATGACTCTGGTTTGCCTTTCCTATTTATCTCAGAATGTCAAAGGAGGGATTAGTTGATTTGTCCTCCTGGGTAATGTTTGATTTGACTTCATTTAAGTGTCTGAGTACAAAACAATGTTTTGGGAGCACTAGATTTCTGTAGGTACTTTATTTATTGAATGTATCTATGATATGCACATAAATATATAGCAAATAATATACAGAATCTCTATTTCTGTCCATAATAGTATAGCATATAGTTGTTTATACAATAAAATAAAGATTTGGTAGTACTAGTTATGACTACTTGCTGTGCTCAACCTGGTTTGTTGCACCGTTGTTTCTTTGCCTTGGGATTGAAAAGTTTAAGAATGCAGTTTTCAGACAGTTGAAATCTTAGTGTAATCTAATATCTACTAAAAATTACCTTAAAATTATAAAATCTCATTTGGAATAAATAATATTCATAGTTTCTGGCTCTTCATGCTTTCTCCTTCCTCCTACAACGATATTGTAAACCTTGTTTTAAGGGACAATGTGATTTGATCTACAATACCCAGCTAATGACTTTTGAGAAGATACTGATGAAGTAAAACAGTTTTGACTAATGACCTGTTTTCATTTCCATAGTATTATTAAGATAACCTAATAAAACAACCAAGCATGGCTTCTTAATGAGCTTAAGAACCTATTATTAAGAGTCCCAAAACTGGAACTCAAGCTTGTGCCATCAATGAGACAATCAGAGATCAAAAACTCACCAAGGCAGGAAAACTATATTTTAAAGAAAAAGGAACTAAAATTATTATCCATATAAGTAGATTAATGGGAAGAACTGTTCTTTGGGGACAGGAAAAATATTTAGCAGGTGTGTTAAAGTGGAATTCAAATGAGATGTGATGGTTATGAGGCAAGGATGGAGCCTCAGTAGATCTTAAAATTATTCCTGTGAGCAAGTGAGAATCCTTTGCAATTAGAATCTGTTGCTTTTTGACTCTTCATGTTCTGTTAGTTTAAGCCGCAGAAGAGGTTGACTTAGAAAATTAGCGTTATTGAAGGAATTTGGTGAATAATTCCACAGAAACAGAAGGAAGGAAATCAGTTCTATTCTGAAGTAGATTTTGATGTAGTTCTAATAGCCCAGGCAAGAGTGTTCTTTCTCTACATTGTCTATAGTATCCATAACCATCACTATCCAAATGTAGTGTGATCTTCTGCGCACACATACAACAGACACAAAGAAATACATACCGTACATCCATACATACAGAAATATATAAAAATAGCATCACATATTATTTTATTAGACCTTAACTACTCCAACACTCTGCTTTTCAGGGCAAACTTGCAAGCCCACAGACAGAACGTGAGGCATGTCTCTCTGTGTCTATCTTCTGCCAGTTCCTTTCAGCTTTAATCCTAACCATCCTTAAGAGATTTTACTGTAAGTGTAGTTAAGTCACATTTGGGCCCCATTCAGTACTTACTGGGTAACAGACTTCATGGCAGGCACTTTAAAGCACTGCTGTAGATGACAGGTTTTTTGGTTTCTACCAACCAGCCTCTTAGAGTAGAAACCGGGTTTACAAATATTTTACTAGATGGCTAAATTGATGCAGGAGCAAATGTGGTAACCAATTAAATTAGAAAATGATTTTAATGAATTCATTGTTTTTCACAGAATTCAGGTTTGAAGGACACGAACAAAAAATCCCACAGTAAACTCATGGGCAGCTTTGGTAAACATAAGGTAAGCAATGCATGATTATGAATCCTTTTCCCTGACTCCCACCTCTGTACTAGTCATCTAAATAAGCCTTTCTCTATGAACTTGAAGATACATGGACTTCAATTCCACATATGTCAGCTGAGGAATTGTGAGAGTTGAAATCCACATATCTTCAATTTGACAAAGTTAAGAAATGCTGATGGACCTAAAGAAAAGCTGCAGCTTTCAAGAATATATTTGTTTATGTTTGGAGAATTAGGTTAAATAGTAACTTGATGATAGGATACAAATCTGTCTGGTAATTCAAAATGTGAACTTGGTGAAATTGATAGATTGGTCCTATGATGTGACTATTAGATACAACTTTAGTTCATTGGGAAGCAGAAATGGCAGTAAACACAAAATCTTGCAGAGTTGCTGACAAAAATAAAATAGGGGTGAGAAATGCAAAAAAAAAAAAAAGTTTCTTGAATTCCTTGTAGGAAAATTGGGACTCAAATGTAAGTAAATAAGAAAAATCCACATTAATTTCCAGTGAGCCTTTTAGAATTTAATAAATATCTGATTTCTCATCCATAATGGGAGAAAGAAAATAAGATTCATAAATTTGCTTATTGCAGAAAAGTATTATGATACTTTTGGGTTTTGAATGGAGGGACTGAAAATAGATTGGCAGTATATAATACCAATTCAGATCTGGCTGTAAGAGCAGTATATTTGTTTCTGCATTTCAGCAGAACTGAGGTCAGTACACAAAAAATTGCTAAGATCCATGACAGACTAGGAAGAAATCTTTTCTAATATTGCTGGTACTTCTATGAATCCAAAATATTTTTGTATTCAAGAGTGGGATTCAGCCAGTTTGTACCACTTTGGCAGAACCGGTAGCTAATTTTTTGTTGCCCAGGACCAGAATGGACTTCTGGAAGCAGCATCCACACAGAGAACCGGTTGTTCATGTATTTGAATCCCACCACTGGTTGGTTGGAATATTTGTTGCTTTTTAAAGCAATGACACATATTACTAGAAGCACTTGCATTTTTATATCTCCTTCTTCCCAGCACGGCTGCTAATTGTACATTTTTTGAAATACCGTAGGTTGGAAAATTTTGCCAAGTAACACATGTAAAATACACATGCACATAATTAGAGTGGAGTCTATTGAGAATCATCTATCAGCATGTCTGAGATTTGAAAAAATATTGAAAATCAATATTAGTGTATGGGATTATGCTTGGTAAATGATGGATGAATTAATAGATAATAGTTGATTGATATTCTTTATTACAATTATTGAACACAAACATAAAGGAGAAACACATGAGGTAGACAATGAAACAATGAGAAGAAATGGAATCCTATTCTGGAAATTGGGAAACATTGGGCATTAATCTTTCCTTCATACATACAAAGAGTTGAACTTTATGGCATAGTATAGTAATATCCCATTTACTTGCTTATAAAATATAATTAAAGTCATAAGAACCATGACGAAGAATCTGTAGCTTTGTAAGCTAGATTCTTTATAATATAGCTTTGTAAGTTATATTCTGGGCATTTAACAAAGAGCTCCATGGAATTATAGGTGTTCTTCTATTGCACGGTATTTGCTAAATAAAGAACTGCAACAAGGTATATTATTTATATATATATATAAAAGAATTGCAGAACAAGGTATATTGCTTTGCATATAATAAATCTATTCTAAAATAGATTTTAGCTTTAGCCTAAAGGCAACTGCTCAATGAGTTGGCATGCAAGGTTATTTTATTTATATTAAGTTCTGAAGGAAAATTAACAAGTCTTATTGTTAATTCAACCCATGGATGAATTCTGTAAATATTTTAGACATGTCCAAATGGGCACCCTTAACAATTGAAATTCCCAGCACACTGTGAGACAAAATAGGTAGCAAAATACTTATTAGAAAATTATACCCCTGAAAACTGACTCAATTCTTTGAAAATGATAAAATATTTCAAAAGCGTAATAATATCAGCTAATTAGACCTTCTTATTTTCTTCAGATCTTTTTGAAAAATGGAACATTTTATTTAATAGTAACCTTAGAGAAAATGAGAGAGTTTTAATTACATCTTAAGGCTTACATATTTAGATTTTATTACCTTGTAAAAAGTAAGGTTTTTTAGTGATTTTGTACTGGAAATTGTGAATGTAGTCTTCACTTGATTTTTTTTTTTTCAAAAGTATTGGTTTGAATGATTTTTCACAATGCAATAAAAGAACCATTTTAGCCTGAAGGTGTTTCTTATAAAACTATATATAACTGTCTTGCAGATTGATTTTCATCAGATGCCCTTTCAAAAACTAGCATGAGTAAAATGTTACATTTTTTTCAGACTAGTGCTAGTGGTAGTCATTTTTATGTCACTCCTTTCTTAATCGATATAGCTCCAATCATCAAAATATTGAAACTTGAGAATAGACAAATTTATCCAGGCTGCTGGCAGGGGATACATAGTATTTGGACAGAGGATAAAAGAGAAGAAACATATAGTTAGTTAAAAATTTGGACTGCAAAGTAGTTTTTTTTTATTTTGTTTTTTGTTTAGATTTGTCTAGCTCTTTCTTTCTCTTAAAGTAGCTTGCAGTACACAAATCACAAAGTTGCTGATAAAAGTACATCACCAAACTCTCACAAAAATTAAAGTTCATGAAACATTGCCTAGGATTTACTGTATAGTAATAGTCCATGATTCTATTAAGATAAATGAATCAACTCATTTTTTATAATTGAGGATATTGTTAAGTAAAGACTTTGACTTTTCAAACAGAAGGCAGTTAAATCAAAATCCAAATCTCACAGCACATCCGATGATGAAGACGCTCAGCATAATGTATCTGGAAAAGAACCCAGACAATTATACAGGTTAGTAACAATAATCACATCTAGCTTTCTTATGTTAAATAGAGTCATACGTACAAGTGCATTTCTCCTGCAATACATGTAGTGGTTGTCTTTTAAGCAAGACATTGCAGGACAGAATGTGGACACATTTAGTTGTAAATAAAACAGAAGTCACTAATGCTTCATCTCTCAAATCATTATGTAATGAATAAGGTATGATTGTTTCAAGTGTGTTTGTGTTGAAGAAATTTCCAATTTATTTTGTTTATGTCAAGCTTCAAAACCAAGAAAGATACACTGAAGTTCTTCTAAGCAGTTTCCTTTATTGCTACTCATCTATAAACAAAGTCTTGCCAAACCAGAGCAGATTACTTGCACCATTAAACATACTGTATACTCTGTGAACTCCTGGGGATGAGCAGCTTTAACTCTTCCTCCCAAGTAAACTACCTAAACTTTATTATTTTTTTGCTCTTCTGAAATGCACTCTCTCCCTTCTGGGAATCTGGACCATCTTCCCCAAATAAGGTAACTGATCCAGCTTTAACTTTATTGCAAATAGCTAAAGGTCCAGCTTTAATTTTATTGCAAACAGCTAAATAGAAGGCATGCACATATAAAGGTCCACAGCTGAAATGAAGAATTAAAAAATGAATTGGAATCCCTGAAAACTGTTCCATCTTTTAACATGTCTCTTTTTTCTTGATCTTCTCTTTCACTTTTTCTGTTTTCCTCTTTGCATTCTTGATTATCAAATAACAATTATTTGTTGTTTAAAGAAAGAATGATATGGTTATCACACTAATTTTTTGAACACAATGGGAAAAAATTCAATGATAGAGAAGTCAATTTATATTTCCATTTACCTTTTGAAAAACCTTTCTTTTCCCAGTCGGTTGGCTCGGCGGAGGAAAACAATGAAGCTGTGTCGTGAGCTTTCTGATCTAGTGGTGTACACAAACTCTGTGGCAGCTCAAGACATAATTGATGATGGTAAGGTTGTGTGAAATTTATATTAAGGAACATGTGACTATTGTGTGCTTAATAGCAATAGCACTTAGACTTACAATGAGGGAAAAATTATTTGATCCCCTGCTGATTTGTACATTTGCCCACTGCCAAAGAAATGATCAGTCTATAATTTTAATGGTAGGTTTATTTTAACAGTGAGAGACAGAATAACAACAAAATAATAACAAGAATAACAACAAAAATCCAGAAAAACACATTTCAAAAAAGTTATAAATTGATTTGCATTTTAATGAGTGAAATAAGTATTTGATTCCCTATCAATCAACAAGATTTTTGGTTCCCAGGTGACTTTTATACAGGTAATGAGCTCTGATTAGAAGCACTCTCTTAAAGGGAGTGCTCCTAATTTCAGCTTATTACCTGTATAAAAGACAACTGTTCACAGAAGCAATTAATCAATCAGATTCCAAACTCTCCAACACCCAAAAGCTGTCCAAAGATGTCAGGGAGAAGATTGTAGACCTACGCAAGGCTGGAATGGGCTACAAGACTATTGCCAAGCAGCTTGGTGAGAAGGTAACAATAGCTGATGCGATTATTCGCAAATGGAGGAAACACAAAATAACTGTCAATCTCCCTCGGGCTCCATGCAAGATCTCACCTTGTGGATTTTCAATGATCATGAAAATGGTGAGGAATCAGCCCAGAACTACATGAGAGGATCTTGTCAATGATCTCAAGGTATAGTCACCAAGATAACAATTGGTAACATACTACGCCGGGTGAATGACTGAAATCCTGCAGCATCTGCAAGGTCCCCCTGCTCAAGAAAACACATGTACAGGCCCGTCTGAAGTTTGCCAATGAACATCTGAATGATTCAGAGAAGAACTGGGGGAAAGTGTTGTGGTCAGATGAGACCAAAATTGAGTTCTTTGGTATTAGCTCAATTCGCTGTGTTTGGAGGAGGAGGAATGCTGCCTATGATCCCAAGAACACCATCCATCAAACATGAAGGTGGAAACATTATGCTTTGGGGATGTGTTTCTGCTAAGGGGACAGGACAACTTTGCCGCATCAAAGGGACGATAGACTAGGCCATATACCATCAAATCTTGGGTGAGAAAGTCCTTCCCTCACCTAGGGCATTGAAAATGGGTCATGGATGGGTATTCTAGCATGACAATGACTTAAAATACATGGCCAAGGCAACAAAGGAGTGGCTCAAGAAGAAGCACATTAAGGTCCTGGAGTGGCCTAGCCAGTCTCCAGATCTTAATCCCATAGAAAATCTATGGAGAGAGCTGAAGGTTCGAGCTGCCAAATATCAGCCTCAAAACCTTAATGACTTGGAGAGGATCTGCAAAGAGGAGTGGGACATAAATTCCTCTTGAGATGTGTGCAAATCTGGTGGCCAACTACAAGAAATGCCTGACCTCTGTGATTGCCAACAAAGGGTTATGCCACAAAGTACTAAGTCTTGTTTTGCGAAGGGGTCAGATACTTATTTCACTCATTAAAATACAAATCAATTTATAACTTTTTTGAAATGCGTTTTTCTGGATTTGTTTGTTGTTATTCTGCCTTAACATACACCTACCATTACAATTATAGACTGACCATTTCTTTGTCAGTAAGCAAACATACAAAATCAGCAGGGGATCAAATAATTTTCCCCCTCACTGTATATGCCGCTCTACAGTGCTTTACAATGCTCTTTAAATGTCTTAAAGAATCAGCATATTGACCCCAACAATCATTTTACCAACCTTGGAAGGATGGAAGGCTGAGTCAACCTTGAGCCCATCAGGATCAAACTCCTGGTGGTGGGCAGAGTTAGCCTGCAATACTGCATTCTAACCCCTGAGCCACCACACTCCTTAAGTGTGTATGTATATGGATGTGTATGTTTATTATTGTATATGGAAACCTGTGGAACTATTTCTTGATGTGATATAATGTCATTTAACAATTCTATCACATTAGTATCTTCATTCATGCAAGCAGAAGATAAATAGAAGCTTCCTATGTTTGTTCCTTGAAGGATTAAGTCCCAAAGCATTTTCTGTAATTACTGTACTATAGTCCTGTAGATCAGGGCTTTTCAACCTTTTCACCCATTGTACCATTTTTAGGATATGGCAACATATGAGTACCACCAGTCGCCTAGCAAGGTGTCACAAATTTGACCCCCCCCCAAAAGGAAAAAAGTGATAAAGTACAGGTAGTCCTCAACTTACAACAGTTCGCTTAGTGAGTCTTCGAAGTTACAATGGCACTGAAAAAGTGCCCCCCAAGCCACAGCCAAGCAAGACACCTGCCTGCCCACCTGGCAGCGCTCTCCCTCCTGTCTGAGGTTTTCATTGTTGTGAGCATTTCTGTTGAGGATTGGCAGTGGGATGGGGTGGGGGGTGTTTGGTTTTTATTCTCCCTCATCTGCTGGGTGGTTGCAGGTTTTGGTCACGTCACATGACCCTGGGAAACTGTGACCGTCATAAATATGAATCAGTTGCCAAGCATCTGAATGTAAATCACAAGACCTTGGAGATGCTGCAACTTTCCAGCTGATTGGTGCTTGTTCAGGGCTGAGCAGAAGCTCCAGGATCAGCGCCAAGCTTCAGCTGGAGCCTGGCACTGATCCTGGTGCTTTCATTAGGCCCTGACAGCCCTGAAGAAGCACCAATCAGCTGGAAAGCGGCACTGATCCTGGCGCTTCCGCTGAGCCCTGACAGCCCTGCAGCTCCAGCCGTCTCTTGCTCAGGCTTGTGTGGTGCTGCCACCGGTTCAGCTCATTCCCCTCCCCTGCTACTTTTCTAGGATGGTCGCATACCACCTGCAAGGTGCCAATGTACCACAGGTAGTACCCGTACCACTGCTTAGATAATATCTACTTCAGATGATAACATCTGGCTGATCCTGTTTGGTCTTGAAAGAACTGGACCTTATTACTTGGAAAGGATTCCTGCAGAGATCAGGGTTGTAGGCTAGATAGGAGGTTGGAGAAAAAAAAAAGAGATTTACAAAATGTGAATGAAGATTATTGGGTTGGAATAGAAGATATGCTCAGTTTATGAGGCTTCCCAGAACAATGGCTAACTAATATTGGAATCTTTTTTTTAAAAAAAAATCATGTAGTATTATGAAGAAAATGAAGCAAATGAACTTGAATTAATACTTTTTTTTCGCTCATCGTGAAACAATTGGGGGTGCCTATAATCTGCATAATGCTGTAATCTGCAACAGGTATAAGCAGAATTTGGATCACTAATAAGAATATTTGTGACTTCTGCAATCAGTTAAATTAGTTTCAAATATGTCATACTTTATTTCCCATATACCTTAGCAAGTCTGCCTCATGGGAATTTTAATGCAAGGCATTCTGAGGACAATGTGTCAAGAAATGTTAATCTTAATAAGAATGTCTAAGAAATTGTGACTGGAGATGGCAGAATAGTAAATGGGGCAAACAGATTATCAATTATATTATAGTTTGGATATATTAGACCTGATCTTGTACTCCCCTGACATATTTTTTTGTTCATCAGTGACTATCATTTCTCATGCATTAAGTTTGATTTAAAAAGCAGGCCTATAAATTTGATAAATAGTAGACAATTTTAGAAAACATTCTAGTTTGGTACAGGTTCTATATCCTTCTGGTATCACAGTAATAGAAGAAGTGATAATCCCAGGGTTGGCATGGCAGAGGTAGAAAACAAAAGATGCCACTGAAGTGCATGAAACTTTAAGGTAAAATAGCTTTAAAAAAAGAGGATTAAGTGGGTGGATTTATATGCTGACATCTATTGCTTGTGACAAAACTACCTTTGACTCAGTTTATACTTATTGATTCTTGTCTATTGGTTATTCATCTCTGAGAACTGTTTACAGTGTTTATTTTACAATTCTTTATTTTCCTTCCAGCATGTCTCTGGTATCCTCCTACTTGCTTTTCTTTGACTTTACTGTAAAGTTTGATCTCAGTTGCAATCCCCCCAGGCTTCTACCCGGCTCTGCTGCTCAGCTTTTGTCTGGAATAAATATTTGATAAGCAATGTTAGTGCATAGGTCTCAGCATGTAGATATACTGATATCTATCTTTCGACTCAGCAGCCCATCCAAGAAACTGTTTTGGGTAGCTTTTTAAAATCAGAATATCTATCCCCATATAAAATGAATAATATACATAAAGAATTATACTTTAGCAATCTTCTGCGAAGAATTTGCCATCTGGATTTAAGCCTGCTGGGATATCAGATGACAACTGAGGCGAAATCATATTGAACTCAATAAGCACTATTAGAGCAAATGAAAAAGTGCTAGCAGCCTATTTTGTGGAAGAGAGTTGGGGGGGAGGACACTTCTTGTAATGACACTTCTTATTTTGTCATGAGGCAAGTGTGTCTTCTGCAATTTTTGCCCAAGCATGACAAAACTGTCAAATTTGGGCATCACTAAAAAAAAAAAAAAAAAGTCAGCATTCAGGGTTTTCATTCCCTCAAAGATAGATTGGATTCTGATTACATTCCAATTTCTGTGAGAGCTTTTAAAGTAAACTATGGTTACCTATCTCTGTTGGCCCAAGTGTCAATTACTTATGATTGCAAAAGCTGAAATTCTGCTTATAACATTTAGTACAATCTGAAATGTATAGACATAAGGTTTCATTACTTTAATTTCCCCTCTGACTTAATTTCAGCCAATCTACATTATTAGTTAAACCATTCAGGAGAGCCATAGGTGTCTGTGGTGTGAAAAATTAGTTATCTTGATTTAAATTATGAAGCTTTTTAAAGTACACACTTCCCAAACCTTTGGGATTAAAACCACCTGTCTTACTGAATTGTTCTTGAGCGGTTTGATTATGTACCTTTTGAATATTCTTCACAGCCTTATATTAAAAGCCATGAAGCCCTTTTAAATTAATGCTGTGAGAAGAATAACTGCTCGTCTGAAATACACTGAAATTCTTCATTTTGGTAAATTGATTAGTATTCAAAAATTTAAGGGAAAAAGAAGTA